ATCACAGCTCTACACTATTAAATATCACATGTTATGGATTATGACGCTTAAATGCTTTCTGCCCATTCCATAGCCCTCATATATGTTACGACCAGAAGGGACAGGTAGTGTTGAAGTTAATCCTAATTCTAAAAGAATTTGAGTTAGTTATCTCTAGAGATTATAGTCATATTGGAATTTATTATGAAACACTTTGTAAAGCCTTTTAAATAGGCATTCATGCATCCTTGTACTCAAGAGAAAAAAAAGACAGAGATCAAAAAAATCCGAGTATTGTAGCTACAGTAATATAGCTAAAAGAACTTTTTTATTTGCTTCTCCCACTAAATCTCTCCTCATACATATTATACTTCTATTTGCTTTGCTATTGATTGTTCCAACAGTGGTATCAGAGTCATGAACAATCTGAACGAGACGATGTCGCCTTCTATTCCTATATTGGATGGGAAGAATTATCATCGGTGAAGAGTGCAGATGAAGGTGTTGTTTGAATATCAAGATATATTGAGTGTCGTAGAGAACGGAGTTGCCAATCTCGCAAATAGCGCAAGTGAAGCCGACGGTGAGATCAAGAAGAAGGATCGAAAGGCGTTATTCTACATCCATTAAGGAGTGAATGATTCAATTTTTGAGAAAATCAACGGAGCAACTACAGCAAAGCAAGCGTGAGATATTTTGGAGACATCGTATTATGAAGTTGAGAAGGTGAAAAAAATTAGGCTTCAAACATTGAGGCGTCAATTTAAAATTTTATAGAGGGAACCCATTGAAAGTGTTGCAGATTACATGACTCGAGTACTTGCTTTGAAAAATCAAATAAAAATAAATAGGGAGAAGGTTGTAGATTAAACAATTGTGGAGAAGATATTGTGATCTCTTACAACAAAATTTGATCATATATCGTGGTGGTAATCGAAGAATCGAAAGATTTGTCCAAGATGAAAGTTGATGAGTTGATGGGTACCTTACAAGTTCACGAGCAAAGCATGAACGAGAGGTCAACCGAGAAGCTCCTTGAGAAAGCTTTTCAAAGTCAAGTTTTTATAAAAATAAAAAATAACAAAGGAGCGTAGTACAAAAGAGACCAGCGAGGAGGAAATTCTCGTGGCAGAAGACGAAAATACGGGAACTACAACCGAGGACGCGGTTACAACAATAGTCAAGGACATGACAGTTATAACAACAATCAAAGAGATGACAACAATCAGAGAAGCAATTATCAATCAAATTCAAATTATCGAGGTCGAGGTCAAGGTCGAGGCTTTAGACGTGGTAGAGGAAATTTTAATAAACCAAATAATGAATGTTACATATGTCACAGATATGCCACTATGCAAAGGAGTGCAAGTACCAGGATAATTCCCAATCCAGAGAAACAGTCCGATTTGCACAAGAAAAAGGTGATGAAGACAACCATACTTTATTGATGGTCACGGCAGCCAATGAAGAATCAAACTACAACACATAGTTTCTTGACACTACGTTCTAATTACATGTGCAGAAAGAATGAGTTGTTCGTGGACCTAGATGAGTCGATGCGGTCCAAAGTCAAGTTTGCCGATGACAACACTATACCAGTGATGGGAAAAGGACGAGTTCTCATCAAGCTAAAGAACGAAGATCACAAATTTATTTCTGATGTATTCTATGTGCCGAATATGAAGAACAATTTACTCAGTATGGGTCAACTTCTTAAAAAGAGGTATGATCTACGCTTCTCTGGTAATCAACTTATAATCTTTGATAAAATAGGTGTATTTATCCTTAAAGTCCCTATGACAAATAATCGCAAGTTTCGAGTTGACATACAGAATGATGTTTATCATTGCTTCAATGGTATTATGAAAGATGAGTCTTGATTATGGCATCTTCGATATGGACATCTGAATTTTCACAGTCTGAAGTTGCTTGCTTAAAGAAATTTGATGAGAAGCTTGCCCGTTGTAGATTATCCCGATCAGTTGTGTGAATGTTGTATTCTTGAAAAGCAACATAAATCATCCTTTGGTATTAAAAATACTTGGCATGCAAAGAAGCCTCTTGAGCTCGTTCATTCAGATGTGTGCGGTCCTATCAACACTATATTGTTTTCAGCGAAAGTTGACTCCATTGTCGATTCCATTAAAACTTTGATGTGTTTACAGGAAATTACAATGAAAATAAAAGAAAATACAACTCTCGAGAAAATAACACAAAAATTGTTTATCAACTCCTGTTTTGTGGGACTTTGCCTGTGCCGTGAGTGCTTTAGCTCGTTGACCACCGATTCAAAGATCGTGAGGGTGTTTAGGGATCTCTCCTTCGTTTATCGAAGTAAAGATTTGAAAACGAATATCTTATCGATGTAAGATGTCTGTTCTTCCAAAGATCAAGTCTGAGCTTAGATCTCTAGGAATCACCGAATGATGCTTGTCAAAGGGTAAAAATTCTCTCTCTTCTTCAAAATCACTGAAAGCTCAAGCCTCCTCTGCTCCAAAATGCTCTCTGTCCTTTATTTCGTGTGTAGGGAGGTATTTATAGGGGTCTCAGTGCACCACAGTTGAAACGGGGGCAAAATAATTGACCGAGTGTTTTCTCTTTGGCCGCTGCAGTCTGCACTGCCGCGGCTATTGGCGCGGCAGTATAGGCTGCCGCGGCCAAAGAGACGGTTAGCCTTAGCCGCGGCACCATGGGCTGCCGCGCCTTAGCCGCGGCACCATGGGTTGCCGCGCCTTAGCCGCGACACCATTGGCTGCCGCGCCACAGTGCTGCCTGATGACGTGTATATCGTTCTTCTATGTTGTTTTGAGTGGTGTTTGGACGTCTGTAAGCAATTTTTGACGCCTACAGATACCCCCTCCAAAGTATCTCAGACTCATCATTTTTTAGAGAGGGGTCTGGGACACTTTGGATATGATAAGCTTTCCCTGCAATCTCTCCAGTTCTTTGTTGAGGAAATTGCGTAGAATGGTCTGTGAATGGCTTTAATCCTTGACTTCATTATCTTTTAGTCTACTCAGTGCTTTGTAGAATAGCTAAGATTCCTCCGGTGCTGCGTTTATCGCGTGGCCGTCGTCGAAGTTTTGAATCAGAATTGTTGTTGAATAATGGAGAAATAGTTTATACTCATATGCTCTATTGGAGTGTTCGGGAAACAATTTAACCTCATATACCCGTTGGAAGGTTCACGGAGATGCAGTTTATACTCATATACTCCTCGGAGTGTTCAGGTATGTATTCCAAATACAGCAGGAGACGTATGTGTTCAAACACCCCAGGGATCGTCGTGTATGCTGAATGCTCTTGCACAGCAGTGTGGACTATGCAAATATCCACAACCGCGACGGCGTATACTGCTTCGCTTGAGCGCTGCAGCATGGACTGTCGCGCTCGACCGCGACAGTATAGACTGTCGCGCACCGCTTCGGCCAATCGGGCTTATAAACTTGCTGCTGGGCTCTCTCGGGTCATTTTTACCCGCTTCTTTGAGTTCGAAACTCTTCAAATCCCCCATATACGACGACCTTTGGCTCTTCTCCTCTTCACGTTTTCGTATTTGGGCGGTTCATCTTTGAACGAGATCTAGGGTTTCTAGGGTTTCTTGGGTTCTTTCCTCAAATCTGCGATTTTCTTTGGCCTTTTCATCCTTCGAGTCTCCTCCTCTCTATTCTCAGGTAAAACCGAATCTACTCCTTGCTTTTGGACTTGTCTTGCTTTTTTGATTTGAAATCTCATCTATAAACCCTAATTTTCTTTGATCCTAGGTTGATTTCACCATGTCGCCAAAGAAAACCCGTGCTTCGAAGGGAAAGTTTGCAGCCCAGGCGTCGGAGGAGGCGGAGGCTGCTGTCCCTTCATTCGGAGGTGATTTTTTTTAACTCTCCTCTGTTCAAAATTACTGTTTTCTGCTTGTATAACCTCGTATGCCCCTTTTGAGGGGCATTCGGGAAGAGTTGACATCCCCCATCGAGGGGATTGACGCTTCAAAACACATATCTTGTTTGAACAAGACATGTACCACAGTCAAGGTGCGAGTTTTCGTCGAACTCGTGCCTTTTCAAAATCAAAGGCCGCTGCTCAGTTACCGCGGCAGCACGTACTGCCGCGGCCGAACGCGACAACATGTGTTGCCGCGGTAACGTGAGGCCTTAGCTGCTGTCGCGGTTACCTAGGGTGAGGGTTTTGGGTCTGTCAGATTTTTGTTATTCAACTGTTTCCAAAACCCTTTCCTGCAGTCCCTTTTTCATCTATGGCTTTCTCTGAGAGAGAAGACCCGGGTCAGAGTGGTACTCTTCACGCTTTTTTCAACGGCGACTTTCTGGTTAGAGAGGCCCGCCTATTTAGTGAAGATCGTGATAATAGTGTCCCAGAGTTGGTTCGTGAGGGAGGTCGTCGTACTCTGCGCGCTCTGCTGACTGATTCACCCTTGACTTCAACTCGGGATTCTACTGAACCGTTGAAGAAACTTGATTATCTGTTTGGCGATTCGATAGAAGATCCAGACAATCTCTGTCGTGGCCCTGAAATTTGGTTGAATGAACATGAAGGTGCTTTTCTATTCCTTGCTCCATTCCCTCGACAGTATTCCCTTCTGCAATTAAGGAATTTGGCTGTTTCGAGGAAAATGACGTGGCACCTGACAGAAGATCATGAGCGCATTCATTGCGGATTCATTGGTAAAGATGTTAGTGCTCCTGGCTCCACCGGTAGGCATACTATCCGTGGTCTTCATCCGGGAATATTCGGACCAGATGGTGGGCCCCAGAATGAATTGATGATAAGAGCCAACACGGTAAAGAATAAGCTCGCTCGGGTTGGTCGAGAACTTCCCATTCCAAAATTTAGATGTTACGGATGGGTTCACTCTCTTCCCGACAAATGGTGGGCTAGGATGACCAACTATGTACTCCATCGTTGGGATCAGGAGTTAAGGAACTTGGGATTATATGCTCCAATCCGAGCCAGCATGCATGGTCTCCCAGTCAGTGTAGATCACTTCCTTGCCTTGTTCGAGTCTTACATTCCGGAGACCAATACATTTCTTACCAAATATGGGGAGTTAGGGCTTCCGCTCCACGAAATGATGAAGGTATCTGGATTGCCACTGGAAAATACTCCTTATCAAGAATATTTTCCCAACAATCGTCAACTTATGAAGATGAAGAAGGCTGGCTCTCCTGCTTATGACATCCTCTGGGAATTGACTTGTCATTATCAAAAAGCGATAGCCAAGATCGAGGTGAAGAGTAAGAAGGCGGCTCGAGTCAGTTTGAAACAGTTCGCTGACTACTTGTTTCAGAATCTCGAGAGCCCGACCGGTGAAGCTGTCTGCGAATCTCCTATTCTGACTCCTTCTGAAGTTAATGTGCTGATTACCAAGATTAACGCCCAGTCCTATAGAACCGAGTCATCCGAAGGCGGTTTTCTTAGGGGCACGAAATTCAATACTTTCTTGTGGCAATCCACAAAGAAAATGAGGCCTGAAACTCTCCTTTCTGGCTACCTGGCTATATGGCTAAAGAGATGTGTAGTGCCGCATCAGTCTTCCGAGGCGCTTCCTCTTGAAGTCCTCTTTCCCGCCGTGCAACTAGTTGTCAGAGGCAGATTATCTCTTCTCTCCGCTATGATTGCTGATCTCCATAGCGGTTTGCGTAACCTAGCCAACACCTTTACCAAAGTGGGTGCTGAGCCTTCAACTAAGATTCCTTTGTCGAGCGTCGACGACCTGCCGTACACATATTTAATGGCGTGGCTAGTTCTCCATCGAGCGGACATGATGTCAGCACCTGACGCATCTGATCCAGAAATCCCCTTGTTGCAGCTCTTAGAAGGATGTAAGTGGTTATATCCTTCCCGACCGTGGACTGACCGGGTGAGGCAATTCAAGAATGCCAAGTGCTGGGAATTCTATAAGTGTTTCCCTCGGTTTTCTGGTGCCTATAATGACACGCTTGTTGACGAGGAAATGCCTGGGGCTAACAGGACCTCTCTCGATACGGGTAGTTTTCATTGGCTCATGAACATTCGCCCAGGCTATAATGTTTTTCGATCGAAGAACATTTGCAGGATTGAGCCTTATTTTCCTTGCCGTTTTGCGCGACAATTCGGCTACGATCAATTGTATATCGGGAATCCCAATAAATGGTTGATAAACTGCGGAGGCCTTATTGATGGGGTACGTGCCTGGTTCTGGAATGTTGCTGGCTGTACCGGAGCTCGATTTAGTTTGCCTGTCGCTGAGCCTGGTCTTTACTTAACCTTCCTCTACTGCCGGTGGATTTTAGCCGCCAATACTCCTCTTGCGAAGAAGAAGCTCCACGAACTGGAATCCGAGGCTGTAGTTCGGAGAATTGTATCAAAAAAAGGAAAGGAGCCCGCTACGTCTTCTCGTAAAGGAAAACAGGTAGCTGATTCCGAAGAGAGCGACGACTTCGAGACATCCAGCGAAGAGGATGAGACCCGAGGCGACGCAGAGGGTGATGTACCTTTGTCTCCCGTGGCTCACAGGACTCGTCGAGCTTCTTCGCCCAAATTACCCGGTGCTCCTTCAAAAGGTATACAAATGAAGGAAAAGAACATTCCCCTGTCGTCCTCCAACAAGATGACCTTGAGATGGCTTTCTCAGGAGGGAGAGGCAGAAGAAGAGGAAGAAGAGGTTGCCCCGCTTATTAACAGGAAAAGATCTCGGCTTACTGCTCCTTCTGAGGTTCAACCTCAGCCGACTCAAGGAACCGAATTACGTACCAAGTTTCGACATGAAAGCTCCGAGGTTCCTCGAGATTCTCGTGCCTCGAAGAGGATTAAAAAGACGGCTCATCGGGAACGCCAACTTTCTCCGTTATTTGAGGAGAAGTTTACTCAGGATCTTCCAGTTGATGAAAGGGGTAAAGTTTCATCTTCATCTCCTTTCTGTTATCTTATTTCTTTTTTGAATAAGGCGTCGCATTTATTCTTTTATCATTGCAGTTGAATCAGAAGAGGAAGGGGAAATCGTGCCCAAGCCTTCTTCTCCGGGTTTAATGGATGTTGATGAATCTAGCTTCACTGAACAAGTGCACAAGGCTATGAACGAGGAACCCCTTCATATGGACATTGTTCCTCCTCCAGCCACCACATCGACCTCGCCAACCGCAGATACAGGTACTGATGTTTTCTCCTTTGGGGGACATTTTCGGAAGATAAGTGAATCAGAACGTGTTCCTCTCCTACTAACTTGTGCGCTTTATCTTCTTTTAGTTAAACTAAAGGAGGTGAGTGCGGGTAGTAGCGCTGCTAATCCCGCAACTATTGTTGAAGGTAATCTCACTTTATTTGTTTTGATTCTTTGATAGTTCTTGTATATGTGTTGACGAGTTCTTCTGTTTAACAGACATCACAGTCGACGAACCGGGAGATATCGAACTTACCCATGATATGGGTATCGGAGATTTCGATGAGCGAGACTTCGATCTTGACATTTCTGAAGATGTACACCAGGAGATCTCCGATATACTATCAAATCCGGTTCCATCCGCTACTGCAGGACCAACTACTCGAGTTGATTCAGCTGAAGCAGATGCATCAAAAGGTATACCCTTTTAGACTCCAGTTTTCAACTGTACTTTCATCTGTTATTGTTCTTGAAGGACTGAAATAAGAATTTTAGACGTAGGACCAACTAACGAAGTTGATGCGTCTACCGTCATCGGTGAATGTGATCAACCTGAAGGTCTGGGTTTCTTACTCTTGGCAAGTCCCCCAGCTGAAGTTGAACCACCAGTCACTGCTCCCCCGACTTCCGCTATTGTCGAAGCTGAACCTGTTGTGCTTTCTGCTCCGACTCTAGTGGATCATGAAGTAGGAGGGTCAAAGGATACAGCGGGAGAACAACCCCCTGCCGCTTCGACTCAGCTTGGTACGTTTTGTCTAATCGTGCTTTGAAGTTGGATTAATACTTGCGGAGTGATCATTCATCCTTTTCTCGTTGACAGAACTTGTTCCTCAAGATTTTGTCGCTTTGGATCCGAAGCCATCAGGTGTTTCAGGTGAACAACCGTCTCCTATAGTAACTCAACCGACGATCGTTATTCCTGAACAGATCCCTGTTGTTATAGAATCTGCTCTGACCTCAACAAGCCAAGGTAACTCGGTCGTGAATTCTTCCAGCGAGCGTACATATTCTTGTACTTAACTTATTTGTTCTCTTTGCAGCTATTTCTTCTTCATTGTCCGAGCGGATTCAAGTTTTATTGGCAGATGAAGATCCGGACAAAGCTGCCCTCTGTGTTGACGTCCAAAGCTTCGTTCATTTCTTAAACGCCATGGTCGATCGGATTCTTCTTAAAGGTTCACCATTTGAACTTTTCAGGAAGTCTCTCGATCGCCATGTATCAGGAATTAAAGAACAGGGGTGCACCGAATTATCTAACTCCATAGAAGCTTATTTGGTCGATCTTAAACAACACATTGAACAGTTACAGAACTTTCGAGTTGATGGCGCACCTTCTTACATCGCTTCCGAAATGGACCTGAGGCTACAAGCATGGCGTGATTCTCAGAAATCCGCTGAATCCGAACTTCAAACACTGAAGACTCGCATTGATCAACTCCGGGTGAGTGCTGCCAAGAAAGCTCAAATCAAGGTAGACCTGTATCGTGATTTGGAATCACGTCGGACAGAGGTAGCCCAGTTAGAGAAACGACTTGCCGAAGCTAAGGATGCTTGCGAATTTTTGGAGTCTGATCTAGCAGAAGTAACTCAAGCTGAGGTGGATATACTCCGGCAACTTAATTTCCAGAACAAGACTTTTGATGACAAAGAACAAGAGGTTGCCAGAATTCAAAGTATCGATGAAAGAAAATTTAAAGCCAAACTGATACCTGAGCTCGAATTGGCTTACGCGACAAAGCTTTCTAAATTAGAAGATGAATTCCGTCATTACAAATTATTGTAATTTTGAAAACATGCATCTTTTCTTTTGTGCTGCTTTGCTTGAACTCTTTTGGTTAATACAATGAACTTTTCTTTTTTATTGAGATTTTATTATGATTACTCATTCTTGTTTAGAATAAATAGTCATAATACTTATAGGATTTTTGGCAAATCCTCAGCCATCAACGGATTTGATATGCCTTTACCAACTACCGTTTGAGTCGGGCTAGTATGTGAATTATCTAAGTCCGTTTCACATATAACGTTGCGCTAAAAGAATTAAACTCTTTTAGGCTTTGAACTATCATATTGAATATGTAGGCTACATGTGTTAGATGTAGGCTTATCTCTAATAAGGGATAGAGATAACATCCCCCATGTGATATGGATTTTAAAGTGTGAATAGGTTGCGCTTCCTATATAGGACAACGAACCCGAAATCAGAGAGGAAGAATTTTATATTCTATCTCCCGGTCTCTTGTTTGTTGGTAGAGATAAACCCAGAATTGGAGAGGAAGAATTTTATATTCTATCTCCTGGTCTCTTGTTTGTTGGTAGAGATAAACCCGGAATTGGAGAGGAAGAATTTTATATTCTATCTCCTGGTCTCTTGTTTGTTGGTAGAGATAAACCCAGAATTGGAGAGGAAGAATTTTATATTCTATCTCCTGGAGCAAAAGAAACTCGAAGTGGGATCTTCACTTAGAGAATCTGGATTGACCTGAATAATCCTAACTGTCGTAAGGTTTGATTACTCAATTCGAAAGTGGATCTTTCGTTCGCAAAATGAATCGAAAGGAGATTTTGGTTGTGGTCCTAACTGTAGTAAGGTTTGACCAAGTGGGAGTTTTGAGGATCTCTCGTTCATACAGTTAGGACCAAAGCCAAAATGCCCTCTCGATTCGTTCCATGAACGAGAGGTCCACAAATTGAACGATCAAACCTTTAAACAGTTAGGATCGTCTCGAATTCCCTTTTGGTTAAATCTTTAAACAGTTAGGACCAAAACCAAAATCCCCTTTCGATTCCTTCCATGAACGAAAGGTCCACAAATTGAACGATCAAACCTTTAAACAATTAGGATCGCCCCTTTCGATTCCTTCCATGAACGAGAGGTCCACTTTCAGTTGAATAATCAAACCTTATGACAGTTAGGATTATTCAAACCAATCTAGATTCTCTAAGTGGAGATCCCACTTTGAGTTTCCTTGAGACCAAGAGATAGAATATAAAATTCTTCCTCTCCATCATCGGGTTCATCTCTACCAACAAAAAAGAGACCAGGAGATAGAATATAAAATTCTTCCTCTCCATCAGCGGGTTCATCTCTACCAACAAAAAAGAGACCATACTACTCCAATAGATACACGAGTCTAAACTGTTTCCTACAATCGACAGGCAGTTTCTGGAGGATATTAATCTGAATATTCTTAAGGATAACCTGACGAACTCTCAATGGACATACAAATATCAATCTGGAAATACCAGCTTCGATTCAAGGTCTCAACAACGGCCAAGCGATAAACGCAGGGCTGGAGAAGCATTAGCTATTCTACAAAGAACTGAATAGACTAATGGATGAAGAGATCAAGGGCTGGAGCCATTTTTCTACACGATCTACTCAATCAAGTATTGAAAGGATTGCAAATAAGACCTGTCTTATCCAAAATGTCCCAGACTCCTCTATAAAAGAATAAGTCTGGAACACTTTGGAGGGGGTATCTGTAGGCGTCAAAAAATGCTAATAGATATCCAAATACAGCTCAAGAGGAGATCATCGAAAAATCAAAGAAAAAAAGACAGTCTTTACTATCTCGCACGCGAGACAGACTTTACTGTCTCTCCGCGCGAGACAGTGTTTGTTGTCTCTCCGTGCGCGACAGCGTTTGCTGTCTCTCCGCGCGCGACAGTTTTGAAATGGTCAGAAACCACCTTGAACAACTGCCACACACGTCCATTAACTGTCAAAGAACATGGGGAACGTCGTGGGCGAGAATCACGTTGATAACTGCCAAAATAACGGAGTTGTAAAACGTGGGAAGGCAGTTACAACGAAAACTGCCAGACAGTTACTGTTCCCAAGACAGTATTTACTGTCTCGCGGGAACAGTATTTACTATTCCCGAGACAGTGTTTACTGTCTCGGCCTCCAAGACAGTAAACACTGTCTCGGAAGCACTGTTCATCCAAGGGTTATAAATACCCCCGAAGGCCATTTTTGAAGAGGGAGATGAGAGAGCATCCACAGGGATCATATCGAGCATATTTACGAGCATTCCAGAGCAGAAAGAGAGCAGATTTGAGTTTTCTTGCAAATCCTTGAAATTAAGCTTTGACTTGATTTTAAGAAGAACGACTATCTTACTTCGATAAGATATCGTTTCAATTTCTCACTTCGATAAACGAAGTCAAAATCAGTCAACCCCTTCTTCACAATCTGTGATTCGGCGGTCCACGAGCCAAAGCGTTCCCGGCACAGGCAAAGTCCCACGAAAACAAAGATCGATAGACGATTTTTGTGTTTGTTTCTCAAAAGTTGTAATTTTCGCTTTGTTGTGTAGAAAAAGTCTTATAAAAAGATTATTCTTTCGAATTTGTTGTAATCGAATAAAGTTATAATGAATTCCTCAACGATACCGACTTTTGACTCAAACACATACATCTATCGATGATACTTCTACCTTTCGCTATATTACTCCTGGATTATTATGTTGATGATGGTTTCATTTTGAATTCTGTGGAACTTGCACATCAGCAGCGCTTGCTTAATTAGGCATCTCGAGCTGTCGGGCTATATTCTAATTAATGCATTTTCAAATATATGGGGATTAATTCATACTTTTATTATATTATTATCAATTTCCTTCCTTTCTTGATTTGTGATTCATTGATGGCTATCCGAATTCTCAAACTGATGGAGTATTCACTCTAGCACGCCATCCTCGGATTAATTAGATCCTCTCCACTCTCACAAAAGTAGTGAATGAATATCTATGTTTTATCACAAACTATTAATCTTTTAGTGAGTGGTTGTGGTTCGTTTTAAATTTCATACTCACTATGCCCTCATGAATTATATTCATTCCTAATTTCTATTCAAAAAATAAATTGTAGCCATCCAACAGATAATCAATGATTGTGATCCACTGTTTCCTTTAATAATGGAGAGGATCCGAATCCCGTCATCCTCAAGGTTAGATGTCAAGATGATGACTCAGTAGCGTGTTCGTTCTCTTGATAATATTTCTCCATAGTCGGAAAGAATTAATAGGAATAGGCTAATAACGTACTAGCCCATTTAAGAAGATATATAGGCTGCCAAAAGATACGGACTTGTACGTGAGCCCTCCTGCTAGTCACGTTGGTGCATGGCAAGAGGCTCATAAGTAAGCGGCTTGACTGCTGACCATTTCGTAAAATGGATCGTCGGATTATACCCCTCTAATATGGATTACGTGAATGGAATTTCAAGCTCCGTAGGCCTATCCTCCTCGGCTCTAGAGGAAACAAAATGTTTGATGACGATCCAACTGGGGTAATTTAAGGGGACATCGATTCAGTGTTCTAATTAACCAGCACATCTCTTTCTAATGGGCTTTGATCTGGGAAGGTCGTTACGTAAAAAGACCATGGGCTGCACGGTTAAAAAAAATACGAGTCAATATACTTTTCTGAGAGGAGGAGAAGAGGAAGGAGAGATGGCGAGGGGCAATAGAATATATACCGCAAATATATATATAAAATAAAAAACATTTTGCGAGAATCGACTACTAATTCCCACCACCCACCTCTAAAATCCTACGAACATACGATCCTCATCCAGATCCTTCTTAATTTGCCCCGATCGAATCCATTAAAGGCCAAGCCCAACCGACTCCATAACTTACGTGATAGCGACGACCATCATAAGAATACCAGCTAGCTGGCTCACGCGCCGCCCTCTCTCTCTCTCTCTCTCTCTCTCTCTCTCTCTCTCTCTCTCTCTCTCTCTCTCTCTCTCTCTCTGCAGACAGATCTAGTATATATAGTACTAGTGTGAACACCATGCAAATCACAACATATTTTTCCCCAGCTATAGTAATCTCGGTTTTAACTGCTACAGATTTTTTGAATTGTTATAGTATCTCGCATCTGCTACAGTATTCCCGCGTGCTACAACAATAGTTTTTCAAAAAACCGCAATGTCCAATTTTATGTTTACTACAATAAATGCTACTGTAACATTTACTGTAGTATGAATAGTGAATCTTGAGTTTTTCCATTTGTATAGAAGAATAGATATCCTCTTATGTACATGTAGTAATGCAAGTATGAACTCCATCAGTCTTTAGGACCCCACCTCTGTCACAAACCCCATGCTTGCTCACATTTATCTGTTTGTAATCTTTAGCTACCTCACATTATTATATTAGTGGTTTTCAAGAGCCAAAAAAAAGGGCCCTAGCTAGTCGGAGGCTCAAGGTAATTAAGTGTGAAACTAAATGGTGCTGAAGTTTATATTCAAACTAATCAAAAGGACAATTTTCACACGAGCCTCCTTCATTTGTCAATAAAAAATGTTCATTAATTACTGATCAATTAACAGCAATATCTTTGGACCGAGAAAAATCAGTAGAATTAAATAACGTTAATTTTGAAATAAGCATATGATAAATGCCTCATAATTAATGTTATGCGATGGAACAACATACATTTAATAAGAAACAACTTGACGCAATTTTGTATTTGTTTCTATGAGAGTCGTTGTGATATTCTTTTACCCGATCACTAGTTTATACTTACTTGGTATTACAATGTTTGTTGCACTACAATTGTAAACGAATCACTTAATCCAAAGAATTAATGGTAGAAGGTGGTAGACTCATTTTACGGCATAGATAGAAAACGCGCTCGCCAACACACATAAAAGGATCGAAGTCTAAGATCACCTGTATGCATTGAGGACAACAACAAGGTGGCATTATCTCTAGAGAAGTATGTTAGATCTACATCATAAAACTTGAGATCTAAAACCATATAGCCATGATTAATTCAAAGAGATTAACAATAATCAAAAGAGCGGAAGCTTATACCTGAATCCATTGTTTGATCTTGAGATGAGTTTTGATCTTCTAACCTTAGGGTTTCTCTAAATCCGAATTTCTC